ATGGTGTTCCTTGGGCCACAGTCACTTCTATTGGCTCAGAATAAACCTCTTTAAATACTTTGGCAGAATTTAGTTTTTCTGTCAACCCTGGCAAATAAAGAATCTTATAAAAGCTATAAGATCTGCTTCTCTCTGTATGTCTTTATGTGTTATGTGTGATATTTCACTACTGAAATATATAAAAGAGCTCTAATCAATTGTCTTAAAAAGAGCTTAAGTCAAATATTTTATCAGAAAAATAAAAACTAACTTTAATGCTTTTTAGTTCACTTGGGTAAATCTTTGGTAAGACTAGTTTAATACTGGTTTTTTTGTTGTTTGTTTGATTTTGAGACAGAGTCTCATTCTGTTGCCCGGGCTAGAGTGCCATGGCATCAGCCTAGCTCACAGCAACCTCAAACTCCTGGGCTCAAGTGATCCTCCTGCCTCAGCCTCCTGAGTAGCTGGGACTACAGGCACATGCCACCATGCACGGCTAATTTTTTTTTTTTAGACAGAATCTCACTTTGTTGTCCAGGCTAGAGTGAGTGCCGTGGCATCAGCCTAGCTCACAGCAACCTCAAACTCCTGGGCTCACGCAATCCTCCTGCCTCAGCCTCCCGAGTAGCTGGGACTACAGGCAAGTGCCACCATGCCCGGCTAATTTTTTCTATATATATCAATTGTCCAATTAATTTCTTTCTATTTATAGTAGAGACGGGGTCTCGCTCTTGCTCAGGTTGGTGTCAAACTCCTGAGCTCAAACGATCCGCCTGCCTCGGCCTCCCAGAGAACTAGGATTACAGGCGTGAGCCACCACGCCCCGGCCTTTTTTTTCTATTTTTAGTTGTTTGGCTAATTTCTTCCTATTTATAGTAGAGATGGGGTCTCGCTCTTCCTCAGGCTGGTCTTGAACTCCTGAGCTCAAGCAATCTTCCCACCTCGGCCTCTCAGAGTGCTAGGATTACAGGTGTGAGCCACCGCGCCCAGCCTAATATTGTTGATTTAATAAAAACAGCCCGTATCTTCTGATCAGCAAAATATCCGCACTTGTGTAGGTGGCAACTGCTCAACATTTGCAGGCTGCAAACATTATTAAGAAGGAAATACCTTGAGATGATGGCCAGCTTTATTTAATGGACAACTCACGCATAATTGTTAAGAACAATTATGTAGATGAATGTAGATGGTAAAAAAGTTCATACATAAACTTTTCATCATTTAAAAAATCGTTTTCAGCAATTTAAAGTCATATTATGTTAAACTGAGTAATAGGAAAGCATAAAATGTCTGAGTCATTTCTAAGTTAAAATACTGAAACAATCATTAAATGTAAGTTTAAGTTGATATATTTTGGCATCTTATTTTTATATGGTATACAAAAACTAAATATATTTAGATCTGTTAATAAAAAATTGAGGAAACATCTTTCTAAGAAATTATGAAATGGTTTTCATCTACAAATACTCATATAAAACAGTTCAAAATTACTTCCTAAATTTTTCACTAGAAATTAAGATTATTAAGAGTTAAAATTGTAATTAATATATGTAATTAAAACTACTATGTATAAGAAACAATTCTGCATAAAGTGTATAAGAGCAGTCAGATGTGTTTTTGGTAAAGGAGGTTATAAAGAAGGCACGAGAATGGTTTTTGGTAAAGTAATTTTTGTCTGGAGGTTTTTAAAGATTGTTTTAAGTTGAGGGCTAAGAAAAGAAAGATAAAAGTGAGTGGACATAGAATTGGGGAAAGAGATTGCGGGAAAACTTATAAGAGGGTGTAACATATTTATGGATATCTCCTCTGGTGAGTTCAAAGCTGACTGAGACTGGATGGATCGGCACTTGCACTGCCATTCCGGCCCCCGCCCCATGCCCCTCAGACTGGTGGAAGGCACAAATGGGACAATAAAAAAAATCAGTTGGCAAAGCTTACAGAAACTTTCAACCCTTCCTGGCCTCAGCTCTTCCACTTGCTTAATTTCTACCCATTTGGAAAAGTCAGGTTTCTCCTTTGAAATCACACACCTGGAGGAAACAGGCTGGGATCCAGTCCTTAAATATGACATTTTCCTTATTGCCCGGGCCTTTCCCTTTTCACTAAAAATTCTAAATTAATTAATGATTCTTTTAACAGTGAACTCCCTGGAGATAAAGACATCAAAGATTAAGGTCTCCAACCTGGAGGTTTTGTTTATTGGAAAAAGCCATCAAATGAAGGTTCCCCACTGCATCAGGCAGACTGGGTGGCTGGCTGTCTTCACCACCCTCAACACCTTGTTCTTCACACCCCGACAAGAAGTACACGAAATATTTCTTTGATTACCTTGAGGAATGGGAACACTTTCTAGATCCGGATTTCGAATTTTGTTAATAATTGTCTTTATTTGTGTCATACTTTTGATTCTTAAATTAATTATACCCTGTATGTCTACATATCTAAAGTTAACAACAAAAAACTAATCATGATAGATGCTTAGAAATGATCCAATGTGCCATGGCTCCCTTGTTAAGAGGATGGCCTGACTGAGACCCACTCGTCGCTTGCTGTTGCCAATCAACTTGGCCTTGAGACCTGCTAAGTTCCTCAGCCACAGCATCTCCCCTCTTTCCCTCCACCTGGCCAGAAGGATGAGATTACCTGGAAGTGAGCCTTCCCTGTGACGTGGGACGTTTACATCTAACGTGTTGATCATCAGTGCTTTCAGAAGAGAAAGACTTTGGTCAAAGAGAGGCAGTAAGAAAAGAAAATTAGCGCACAGCAGTCTGAGCTATGTGAGGTATTCACAATTTATCAGGTCCAGAGAGACATGAGTATGGGACTTCAGCCATGCTCCCCACCCACACCTCTGGCAGTTGTTTAAAGGCATTTTGTTCTTTCTTTCCTGTAGTTTCCTGACTTGCTGCCTTACTCATTATCTTCATATTCCTGGACTTTGTGAGACAAAGAATAATAGATGGCCAATCAGTAGCTTCTGTCATTTTAATGTAAATTCTTGGTAAACAATTTAGGAACTGCCTTTTTTTCCTTTAAAAACCCACTGCTTGGAGCTCTGGTCCCACCACAGCCCTCTAGCCTAGGCATCAGAGGAGACCCTGTCTCAAAAACAAACACAAAAAAATCCCCATTGCTAGGAGCTAAGTGCAGCGGCTCAGGGCTGTCATCCCAGCTGCTGGGGAGGCTGAGGTCACCTGAGCCAAGGAGTTAGAGGCTGAACTGAGCTACGGTAGCACCACTGCACTCCAGCCTAGGGGACAGAGCGAGATCCCCCTCTCTTAAAACCCCACTGCTGCTAATGGGAGCGTATATTCAGGGAAACTTGAGTCTAGTCCCCAGGCTTGCAGTCCTAGAACTTGGCCCAAATACCCCCCCCCCTTTTTTTTTGAGACAGAGTCTCGCTTTGTTGCCCAGGCTAGAGTGAGTGCCGTGGCGTCAGCCTCTCTCACAGCAACCTCAATCTCCTGGGCTCAAGCAATCCTGCTGCCTCAGCCTCCCGAGTAGCTGGGACTACAGGCATGTCACCATGCCGGCTAATTTTCTATATATATATTAGTTGGCCATTAATTCTTTTATTTTTAGTAGAGACGGGGTCTCGCTTTTCTCAGGCTAGTTTTGAACTCCTGACTTCGAGCAATCCGCCATCTCAGCCTCCCAGAGTGCTAGGATTACAGGCGTGAGCCACCCGCCCGCCTAAACTCATTACTTACTATTTATTTCCCTCAGTTTTTACCTTTAGGCGCGAAAAGTGACTGCCAGGTACCTGACATGGAGGAAGAAGTCTTCCCGTGGACCAGTTCAGCGCCCTCCCCGCTCACCATGGTCCTTAGCGCACGCTGCACGCTCGCTCCCACGTCCACAGGCAAGCCGGGCGCTCGGGCCTCTGGTGACCTTAGTTGCCGCCGGCCACTCCACGCGCAGCGCGGGCCCGCGCGTGTGTGGAGAATTTGGCTCCGGTGCCTTTCGGGTGACTCGGGAAGGTGGAGCGCTGCGGGGGCTGGTTTCAAAGTCCAAGGATAGGGTCTGTGATCACCTGTCCTCCACTGAACTCCTCGGTGCCCGGTCTATAGCGTCTGCATGTCCTGCTCGCCCGACTGGGAGGACGCCTCCGCAAGCGGCCGTGCACCTCACCGAGGTACGGGCGCATGCGCGGGCAGCCGGAGGGCGGGGGCCGGGCCGGGAGGGCTGCGGCCGAGCCCGCGTCAGCTGCGGGGACGGGCGTGGGGTTGCTGGCGGCTGGCGACGTGCAGAGCTGCGGGCGTAGGCCCAGGCCCGCTCCAACCACGTCCCTCTGCTCAACCGTGCGGTCCGCCGCGAGTTCTCGGGACGCCGCTTTCGACAAAGGGCCGGGAGGGAGATGGAGATGAGATGGGGATGCTTCCGTGACTACTCCCGGCGGCCGACCACCGCAAGCGGCGGCCGCAGGGGGGGGCGGCGGGTGCCATCACGCGCTCCCCGTTCCGGCCGTCCGAGCCCACAGGACGCCAGTCCGACCGCCGCCCGCCCGCCGCACGTCAGTTCTGGACCACATCGCGAGGCTCGCCGCTCGTCGCGGCCTGGCCTCCGCCACCGCGGCCGCACCACCGCCGGCCGCCGCGCCGGCCACGCGCAGCGCTAGTGTGCCATCGACGGCCGCGCAGGCGGCGTCTGCTCCACCCCCGAGATCACATGGTGACCTCGGCAGCCATGCAGTGGACGCTAGGACCTGCGGGACCCCGGGCGCCGTGACTGCACCGGCGCCGCTGCATTAAAATACTTCTCCAAATGCACGGCAGTCTCCCTGCGCGCGCCCGCGCCGCCGCCTCCGCCCCGCGCCTGGCGCCGCCGCTCCGCGGTCCGAGGGCCGCCGGCTCCTGGCTCGGGCCGAGCCGCCCGCCCGGCCGCGTCGCGCTGCGCCGCCGCCGGGTGCATGGCATTGTGGGCCTCCCGACATGGTCTGCGGGACGAAGATCGTGCCCGCCGAGGACCTGAGGCGCTGCCGGGGGCAAGAGGACCGCTGCTCGCCGGGGCCGCGCCATGTGCCCGCTGCCGCCGCGCGCCGGGCCGGCCGCGCCGCCGCGCGCGCCGCCGATGCCCAGCCGCGCGTTGGGGCCGGGGGCACGGGGCCGGCGGGGGAGCGCGGTGTGTGCATCCGCGAGTTCGCGCGGCCGAGCAGGAGGCGGCGCGCCGCATCTTCTACGACGGCATCATGGAGCGCATCCCCAACACGGCCTTCCGCGGCCTGCGGCAGCACCCGCGCACGCAGCTGCTCTACGCCCTGCTGGCGGGTCAGTGCGGGCGGCGGGGGCCGGGGCTGCGGCCCGCGCGCCACGCCGCGCGCCAGCCTGCCGCAGTCCAGCGCGGGCCGGCTCGGAGCCGTGGGGGATGGGGGCTGGCCCCCTGGGGTGGCTGCACCGGGCTCCCAGCCTCTCGCCCGTCCCAAAGCCCGGGCGGCACCCGCGCGGACCTGGCCTGGGAGGAGGCTGGCGGCCCGAACCCCCGCGCCCTCCCGCTTCTGCTGGGCCCGGGCGTGGGAACCGGAGCGGGCGGGCACGGGCCAGGGCTGCGGGACGCTCCAGGGCCGGGTGGGGGCAGGGCGGGCATCGGCCGAGGCTAGGCGCCTGGCGCGGGTGACTATATATAATCCGTGGGGCGGGGGAGGCTGCCGCGGCAGCTCCGAGTGCTAATTTATGAGGGGAGACAGCCAGCCCTGCGGGGCGCCGCGGGAGGGGCGCTCCGGGACAGAGCGGGGGTGGGGGGTGGGGGCCATCTTCGAGGGGTCTGTCGGAGCCTTTCCCCAGAAGCTCTGCCAGTGGAGGGCTGTTCTCCCATTTTGCAGATGAGGAGCTTGAGGCTGGGGGAGGGTGCGATTCTGCCAAGGTCACCGCAGCCTAGATGCGGCTGGAAGCTGTCGGCCCGCCCCTGTCCTCACGGGCGCCCGCGTGCGCAGAGGCTAGTCCAGGGAGACTCTGGCTGTGACCCCAGGAGGGTGGTCCTGGGGCCCTGCTGAACATGGGGACCCCTGCCCGCTTCCCAGCTAGGGGTGGTTTGCAGGGCCCCTTCCCAGCTGGGGATCGCAGGGTCCCGGCTGTGCTGCACCTGCCGGCCACTCGGCAGCCTGCCCAGTGGCTGCCGCGGTGCTCAGGAGGGTTAGAAGTCCTGTGATTGTTTTGGGTGATAAAGGTAGTGTATCTTTAGGGCAGAAAGTTTGAAAATAGGGAAAAGTAGGGGGAGTACCTGAAATACCACACTGCTGCTCTACTCCAGAGGACAGTGGTGCCCTGTCCTCTGGGCTCTCCTGGGCGTCCGTCGTCCCTCTTTCTCACCCACACCGCTTCTCCGTGTCCCCGCAGCACTCTGCTTTGCTGTGACCCGCTCGCTGCTGCTGACCTGCCTGGTGCCGGCTGGGCTGCTGGGCCTGCGCTACTACTACAGCCGCAAGGTGATCCTGGCCTACCTGGACTGCGCCCTGCACACGGACATGGCCGACATCGAGCAGTACTACATGAAGCCACCTGGTGAGCCCTACCCCCGGCCCCATACTCATCAGGCAGAGCTCCCCCTCCCTGTCCCCCCCTGCAACCTCAGGGCAGGGCCCCGGAGGTCCCCATGACCAGCACCATCCAGGTGACTAAGGCCTCCAGTGAAAAGTGGGGTGTCAGTGGCCTAGCACCTGCTGATGTGGGAACAAGGGCCTCTGTGCTCTTGTTGGTTCTGTCTCGTGTGGCTGGCAGGAGGGCTGGCCACGGGACCAGCCTTGGGTAGAGGGGGCCTGTGTGGCTGGGGCGATGACTCTGGATGGGGGCAGGGGACCTGGGCTCAGGGCCACTTAGGGAGCCAGAGAGTCTTGCCCTGGCCCCTGTGGCCTTCTGTAGAGGGAGGGTTGGGGGCTATTCCCAGCCCTTAGGTGGCAGGTTGGGTGGCAGGGCTAGGAAGTTTCCTCAGAGGAGAGAAGAATCCCAGCTCTCTGGGGGCAGGAGGTTCTCCCAGTGCTGGGGGGTCTGTGGCGGAGGAGAGAGACGAGTGGGCCCTGAGGGATTGGTTAGGGTCTAGCAGGGCCTGGTGAGTGTCAGGGGAGGGCAGCACTCTGGCCCCACCATCTGCCAAGCCCCTGCCCCTGCCCAGCCGGCCTTGGTGCCCGACATTCTCCTTGACCATTCTTCAAACCCAAACATCTGGATGGCCTCCGTGGAGCCCTCGTCCTGCCTGGCTTTGCTTAGGAAGGGAAGGGGGTGCCCATGCAGAGCCCAGGCCACAATAGCAAAGAGGGCTCAGTTCTGGGTGGGGGGTCCAGCTTGAGGCGGCTCCCTGTGACCTTGCCCCCTAGGGCCGCAGCCTCCCTGGTATGAGGGGCTGTGGGACATCTAATGGGTCTGCAGGAGCCACACAAGGCCAGAGGCCCTGCTGGATTTGTGGGTGCTGCTTGTGCAAATGGGGAGACCGAGGCTTGGGAGAGGGATTTGTGCCCCCAGCCATAGGGTGCTGGTGGGTTGTCACTCCCTGTACTGTCCTGGCCTCTGGTCTGGTCCGGTGGGTGGGGAAAGGCCAGAATCCCTGGATGGTGGGCCAGCTGGCAGGAGGGGACTGGCCCAGGGGTCCCCCTCAGAGCTAGAAACACTGTAAGAGGTGGGTGTGGGAAAGCCTTTGGGGCTTTGGGATGGGGATGAGGGAGGGAGGGACCCCTCCTGGGAACCCTGGAGCTGCTCAAAGCCTGGAGAGACAAGCCCAGGACCCTGGTGCTGGCAGCCATGCCCGCAGCTCCCCCGACTGCTCTGCCTCTGCTGGGGGAGGGTGGGCAGTCAGGGCCCTCAGCACCACCTCAGCCGAGTGCCTGGGCCCAGAGTCCAGCACTGGAAGAGACAGAGGTCCCCTCCCTGAGCCGGTGGGCTGTTGGAGCCCCTGGGGTGATGGGGGGATGCTTGCTGGGCAGGGAGCATGCACAGAGCCTTGTCAGGGGCACTTTGGCTCCTTGAGGGGACCAGGCTCCTGCACAGGTGCTCCCTTGGCCTGCAGAGAGGTCTCTGGGTCACTTCATTTTTTGGGTTAGCAGAGGTGGCCTGGGCCCTGTAGACTTCCCCTCCCCATCCTACCCCTGCAGCTTGTCACCTAATGCCCCTCCTGCTGGCCTGAGGCTGGCCTTGGGCTGTGCTATGGGTGGGGATGGCAGGCTTGGTCACGAAGCCAGGGTCAGTGGGCCTGGTCCCCACTTGGATCTATGAAATGATCTCCTACGCCCCCAGCTCTTGCTGTAGGGGTCCTTCTGGATGCTGCCTTGCAGCCCCTTCCTCTTCCACCCTTCCAATGTGGGTGCCTGGGGACCAGCGTGGTAGCCCCTGGGGGCTGGGAGCCAGAGCAGGTTGGCTTCACCTGTGCCTGTCCCGTGGCCATTTGGGGGATGTTTGGTCCAAGTGTAGCTGGGCAGGGCAGGGGCCTGCCTGGCTAAGGCCTGCCCAGCTCTCGGTTCCAGGGGAGGGACTCCAGCCAGCCCGGCCTCAAGGGCTGAGTGGGTCCTGGCTGTCAGTCCAGGCTCTGGGTGTTGGCTGGGCTTCTTCTGCTCAGAGCCCTGGAGGAGGCAGCGGTACCTGCTTGTCCTGAATTGTGGCCATCCCCTCACATACCCTAAGTCCAGCAGAGCTGGGAGGTGGGCCATTCTGATATGTGGCTGTAGGGGGCGGACCTGAAGGGCCCTGCCCACCCACTGACCCTGTCAAGAGGGTCTCTTGGCCTTCCTTGCCGAGCGTCCCTGACTGCCCTGTCCCCTGCAGGCTCCTGCTTCTGGGTGGCCGTGCTGGACGGCAACGTGGTGGGCATTGTGGCTGCAAGGGCCCACGAGGAGGACAACACCGTGGAGTTGCTGCGCATGTCTGTGGACTCACGCTTTCGTGGCAAGGGCATCGCCAAGGCGCTGGGCCGGAGGGTGCTGGAGTTCGCCGTGGTGCACAACTACTCTGCGGTGGTACTGGGCACAACGGCCGTCAAGGTGGCCGCCCACAAGCTCTATGAGTCGCTGGGCTTCAGACACATGGGCGCGAGTGACCACTACGTGCTGCCTGGCATGACCCTCTCGCTGGCCGAGCGCCTCTTCTTCCAGGTCCGCTACCATCGCTACCGCCTGCAGCTGCGCGAGGAGTGACAGCCACTGCTTGCCCGCCCACCACCCCAGCTGCCCCGTCCACCTGTGCCCGCCTGCCCGCCGCCCAGTGCGGCTCTGCTTTCAGACCCTCACCTTGGCGTTTGTGTTGGGTTTTCTTTTTTCATCACACGGTTCCCAGCTGGTCCTTGGGGTGCAGGGCTGTGGCTCTTCCATGACACTTTGGTAGGGGTGAGTTGTCTGCAGCCACGGTCCTTCGCCCTGTCCAGCTTGCCAGGTGGCTTCCCACGCCTTGAAGAGTTGCACCTTGGACCTCTGCAGTTGTCCACAAGGCTGCCCAGCCCGCTGCCACCGGGGAAGGCCCAGCCTTGCCCACCAAGCACAGAACCTCTGCGAAGAAGCCCTAGGCTATGGCTCAGCTGTGGGTCCCTGGAGGGGAGGCCTGCTGGGCTGGCTGGCCGCTGCCCCACGGAGCAGTAGGCCCTGCTTTGCTCTGTGCATGCTGAGGAAGTGGCCTGGCCGCAGCATGCCGCATGCCCACCGCCTCCCGCTGCTGCCCTACCCAGACTGGACCCTGAGGCCTTGGCTGGTGAGCGCCCCTGTCCCAGCCCAAGCTGGCCGCAGGAGGGCATACCCTGCTGCCCACCCCCAGCCACTCTATGGAGGGGCCTGGACTGCCTTTTGCCACCCCAGCTTCATCCACTCCTGCTGTGCTTTGACAAGAGTCACCCTCCTTTCCTCCTGATCCCTGCCCCTCCCCCGCCTGGGCTTAGCTGACTGGTGACATCACCCAAGAGGTGGTTCCCATAGCAACCATTGCACAGCCATAGTGGGGGCCCATGGGGGGGACACCTTGCCCCCATTGCCTGCTGGATCACAGTGGCCTCTCCCAGATGTCCCCGGGGACCTCCTGCGCCCAGCTGGCGGGGTCTACCCTGTGAATCTCACTAACCCAGGCCGCTGCTGACAGCGCCGAGCCCACAGCTTCTCCTCATTTTCTGATGTTACTTAGACAGAATAGCACTCTGCATGACTTTAATTCTTGGGACAAAACGGTAGTTTGTACCCTGAGACACACACATCTGTGTGGTGCTGGAATGTACACTGTTTCTGGCCCAGTGACGGGGGGTGGGTGGCCAGGTGGGTGGAGGGTTTCACAGTTAGAAATCTGGAGGGAGACCCTGAGTTAGCAAGAACTCCCACCGAGGAGCAGTCCTGGTGAGTGAGGAGGTTCCGCATCGCAGGTAGAGGGGCAGGTGCAGATGGAGTCTCGTGGCCACGGGGGCAGGGCTGGGCTCCTTGGGTCCTGGTTTGGGGGTGGCCAGCTTGGTTCCAGCTGGCTGTGCTCCTGGCCTGGCCTCGTCTGGGCTTGGGGTGGCCTGGGAAGTGGAGGGGAAGTAGGGATGGCAAGGCCGCACGTCCAGCCTGGACCTAGCTGGCGTCGGTGGCTGGAGGGGCATGAGCACCCACCCAGGCCCCTTTGTGTGGGGCTCAGGGATGGGGAGGTGCCGGCAGAGAAGCCATGGAACTGGGTCCCAGACCCAGGTAACGAGGCCACGTGCAGGGCCGCAGAGGGGACCTTCATAAAAAGGTGCTTCAGAAATTAATGAATTAACGGAACAAGCCCAGGTTCCGAGGGGCCTTTTGTCCCGTTAGCAATTGAGGTATTTGCAGAACACTGTACAGACCCCGCTGTCCCCTGTACATTCCCCTGGTGGTGCCCGGTCCCTGCTCTGGGTGGGAGTTTTGTAGACTGTACAGAAATTGGCACCCTATTTTCTTGCAGCTCTCAGATTTTGTTAATCTGGATTATACAGACAGACGTAAAGTGTTTTAGCAAAATGGAAAACAAGTTGTGCCTTTTTCCTCTTTTTGTTTGGTTTGGGTTCGGCTTGGGCTGGTCTTAGTTGGCTTGGGGTGTGTTGGGGCTGCAGGTGGTCTTGGGGCAGGAAGGGCAGAGCGGGTCTGAGAGGTGTGTTTCATGGGGTGGGTAGCTGGGTGCAGCGTGGACTTTTTTTGATCCTGTGCCTTCTGAGCCTGCAGTCCCTGGGGTGGTGGCTGGCAGAGCCTGCGGGGCCAGGGACTGCCAGTGTCTCCTGGACATTGACCTAGGGTGGGCTCACAGCAGATCCTTCTCCCGAGGGCTCAGAGGGTCCTGAGGTGGTGGTGTGGTGCTCCTGTTCTGGCAGCATCTGTCTGCCTGCAAGGGGTCCCTGGCTGCATGGCCGAGTGGGTAGTGGGATGCGTGCTGGACTCTTGACCATTTTTTTGTTGCTGCCAGGGCTTGGTAGAGATGCCAGGAAGGGTGTGGTAGGGTGGGCACGCTCGGACGGAACCCTGCTGCCAGTGAGGTTTGCAGAGGCACCCGTGCACCCTGCCAGGCTAGGCTCAAGCTGCCTGGAGCCCTTACCAGGCCAGTGTGCAGCTCATGGATCCTGGAGGGCCACCAGGGTCAGATCTCCCACCCACCCCCACAGCTGGAGGTTGGGCATGCTGCTGGGTGGGCCTAACCCTGGCCCACTTCATCCCTCCAGCCTGAGAGCTAACTGCTCCACAAATGTGCACTGACATGAATTTTATACGTTTGTAGAAATTCTGATGTTACTTTTTCTACCTCTGTGAAGTGCCCCGTGGGGCCCCGCTGTCCCAGGCCTGGTGCAGCTTCCCTGAGTATGCTGGCCCCAGCCCCTCCCCCTCCCAGGAGGCCCTCGCCCCATCCCCGGGTGCCCAGGACCCATGCCCTTCCCAGCCTGGGCCTAGCACTGCCTGGGTCTGGGGCTCCCAGGATTTCTGTTGGTTGTTTGGAAGTCTCTGTTTTTGGAGCAGGGTGGGCAGAAGGTGGGAAGTAGAGTGTTCCATGTTGGCATTAGATAAGCCTGCAACACAGACCTGACAAGTGGCTCCTAGCTGCTGAGGGCTCTAGTGCCCCTGGACAGCCCAGTGCTACCCAGGCCCATGAGTGGCCTGGTGTGCCACTGCCCAGGCGTGGTTCTCTGCAGATGGCTGACCCCTGAGGGTGGGGGCCAGGGTGGGCTCCTGAGTGGGAGTCGTGCCCCACAGGCTTTGGCAGCATCTTACCACTCCTTTCTCCACCCCACGCCCAGCCTTGCTTTCCACTGGTGCCCCTCTTGGGGCTGGGCAGTGGCTGAGATGCTTCCCCTGGGTAGATGGGGGAGGGACAGGTCAGCCTGGCCCAAGGGGGTGGCCCTGGAAGATGCTCAGGCTGGGAGATCCTGGACAACAGGACCGAGGCTGCAAGGTCCTAGGATAGCTGCCATCCTGCTGGGGGCCCACTGAAGGAAGCTTCTTGGGCTATCTGGCAGGTGCTGGGGGAGCTCTCTGGGTTTCTGAAAGGTATGGCTCTAGCCTCTGCAAGGCATGTGGCCCCTGGCAGGCCCACCCCTACCTGCCCTGGGAGTGGCCCCAAGCCCAGGCCCTCACTAGAACCTGATTCCAGGGCTGTGCCTGTGGACAGAGGCCAGGGAACTTGGGTTTCTGGGCTCCGTGGCTGCATGGGGCTTCATGGGGACCAAAGGAAGCTCCCCAGGGGGCAGGGGGCTCTTTGGGCATACTGGGGCCACCTTCCTGTCAGTGCCCAAGGCACACCTGACAGTTGCCCAAGTCAGGGAAACCACTGCCTCTTGCCTGGGCATGTTGTGTTTGTTGCCTGTGGAGTCACTTGTGTCTGTTTGGAACCTGCTTCTGTGAACCAGCGTTGGCCACAGGCCCATGTTGCTAGGCTGGTGGCTCTTTGGCTGACACTTCTGGGGTCTGAGTCCTGGGCGGGGGTGTGGGGCAAACCCCAAATTTGCTCCATGGTACCACCACCGGGGTGCTTCCAGCAGCATGTGGTGTCCACGCAGGGCACAGCGGCCCAGAGCCTAGGGAAGGAGCCCCGCTCTACCACTGTTGGATATGGTATTTTTTAAACAGCAATAATTAGCCATTTAAAAGAAGGAGTATACCTGTGTGTGTATGTACACGTGTTTATGTGTATGTGTGAGCATGTGTGTACATATGTATGAGCATGTATGTATTCGAGCATGTGTGTGAGCATGTACTCGTGTATGTGTGAATGTGTGTTCTTGTGTGTGTGTGTACACTTGTGAGTGTATGTGTATGCATATGCATGTGTGTGTGAATGTATGTTTATGCGTGTGAGCATGCATGTATGTGTGGGTGTGCACGAGTGTGGTAGCAGCCAGGGAGCCTGGCGGGCAGGGTCTGGCTTGGGAGCTGCTGGGCTCCTCCTGTCCCTCAGTGGAGCTGGGAACTCGGTGGGTGCTGGCGGAGCCACTGCCTGCCCTGATGGCTGGCTCCCTCTGGCCCCAGGGCAGGTCCACAGTGAGCTCGTGGGAGGGTTTTGCCTGTTGGAGTTCGTTTCCGAAACTGTACTGTGAGCCCGTGATGGGGGCGGGGGTTGTCCTGAGACCCCAGGATGTGCCAAAACAGCCCCTAGGGCCGGGGTTACCAGCTGAGTTCCAGGAGACTGTGGGGCCAGAGTGGGTGTGCTCTCTGCCTGCACAGCCCCAATGCTGCTGTTTTTCAATAAAACCAGAGTTGAAGGACCCGGCTCCAGTGCTTTCTTGAGGCGCCTCATGCCCTGGGCGGTAGGGCTGGCTTTCTGGGGACATGAGCCTCCCCACAGTAGTTTCCCCTTTGGCTCCCCTGCTCCCTTCCCCATCTGCTCCCCTCCTACCTCCTCTCTCCCTACCCCTTGGCCCCACCAATCTGGGCTGCTTTCCTGTGACCCTGGAGGAGTGGGGGCAGGGGTGGCGAGGGGTTTGGATGCCTTGTGGGCCAAGAGGCCCCCTCCCTGGGCAGGCACCCAGCCCAAGCCTCCCAGGGTGCCATCTGGGAGGGGTGCCTGGGCTCCTTTCTGGTCTGGTGCTGGGTAGGGGGCTCCATAGCCTTTTCCCCTGAGTGTGGTGCATTGAGAAGGCATTCACTCACAAGCCTGCACCCCCCCTGAGTGACAACCCAGGGGCTCTGCCTTCCTCCCTACCAGCTTCTGGCTGTGGCCTGGGCATCCAAACTCTTGGCACAGCTGAGACAGACAGCTGGGCTCTTTGGGCCCCACCACTGTCCTTGCTCCCCTGGTGGATACCCCAGCCCGGCCAGGTGTACCAGGCCCCACTGTTCTGTACTGGCCCTGGGGCCTGGGTACCCTCAAGGCTGAGACTCTGGGTTTGCAAGTGCTGGGGTCTAGGTGCCATAAGGGTGTTGTCCCTTTCCTGGGTCTGCATTCCCTGCGGGACTTCCTTGTCCTCCCGATTCTCAGTTCCAGTGGTTATGCCTGTTCCTGTGCTGGTAGCCCCTGGCAGGTGGTGCCACCGCAGACCTGGGAATCTGCCTGCCCAGCACCTTGGAGGAAGAGCTCAACTCCAAGGGGTGGTGTGAGGTTTGGGATCCAGGTGTGTGGGCGTCAGGGCTGACCAGGGTTGTTGAGGGGAAGCCCACTGTCCAGAGAGAGGGACTAGGGTATGGGATCTAGGCTAAGGGATGCTGGGTGGTGAGGAGGGTGCTGGTGGGCTACAGCACACACCGGGACCAGGGGTAGGGTCTCAGTGGCAGTGAGGTGCAGGGAGGACACACCCCTGCCCTATCAGACTCCAGTGCAGGGTGCCAGCCTGGTGACACAGGGACCCTTGGAGCCTGGGATCCACCAGGTGCAGACCCTGCAGCCCAGGCCTCTGGGCAGTTTTCCTTGTCAGGGTTTCCTCTTGGCTCCCTCTTCTTTGCACCCTCTCCAGGCCCTCCTGGCCCAGGGGCTCAACCTTCACACATTCCTTCCCAAAGAGCAAGCCCAGGTCAAGATCTGCCTCTTTCAGCCAGTGCAGGGGACTGGGCATTCTCTGCCCAGGTTCAGGTAACAAATGGCAAGACCTATCCCTGGGAACGTCTCAGCAGGAACTGTGGCCAGTGGATGCAGAAGCCTGGCATGCAGCTGGGTCATTTATTTTGAAACCTAAATCTGCCTTCGCCCCTGCCCCACCTGCTGGATAGCACCTCACTGTGCTAGTTCTGCATGAGCTGCTCTGCAGAAGCCCAGGAGTGAGGACGCCTTAGAGTGACACAGCAGGGGTGGCTGACTGCCCCAGCTTGGGCCACACCCCCCCACACACACTTGTACTCTCACGTGCACACATGTGGATGCACAGGCACAGGGCAGGGGAGCAGCAGGACAGCTGGCACAGAAGGGCCCAGTGGCAGTTCTGTACCAGTTGTCTGGAGTGCTATAACGTTCCACACACTGTGGTCAGGCCTGGCCACCCAGAATCCTGCGCCTGCTGTAAAACCGGCTAAAAGATAAAACCACGAGAACACAGGCAGTTTGGCACAGTGTGGGCATCACCTCCTGAGGAGGAGGCAGCCCAGCTGCTTCCCCAGTCCTGGGACAGGTGCTGGTGTACCCCAGGGCTAGGGGGCCGGGAGGGGCAAGGCCAGTGTGGCATGGCACTGACCCAGGGCTGTGGTCTACACCTGGCTGGTCCTACTCAGGTCTCACCTGTGCTGGACACACAGCAGGTGTCTGACAAATGGTTGCTGAATGAACGGAGGATGAAGGAAAGGGCCTCCAGACCACCCATGAGACAGTCCACTGTGACCACCCAAGTCTGCCAGAAGAGCTGATATGTGTGTAGTGGGGCCACAAAGGGAGCAGAGCACATGAAACAGTTGCCACCTCAACAGAAAGGCATGCCACACAGAAGGGGAGTCCCGTTGCTCAGACAGGAGGCCCAATGTGCTCCCTGACAGGTGCCATTGGGGCCCTCCCCCACAGCCATGGGGCATCCAGGCCAGTTGTTTGGGGGGCTTCCTTGGGGGTACCAGCCTGACTCAGTCTCTGGTCACCAAGCTATAGGAGGCTCCCCAGAGAGACCTTGTGGCTTGGAACTATGCGACTCCAAAGACCCCCAACAGCCCAGCTGGTCCTTGGCTGTGAGTCTCGGCAGTGTTCTCTTGGTCCCTTCAGGGCTGCACCAGGCCAGCCTGGGAGAAAGGTGCACACTCGGGTGTGGCTTCTAGAAGCTAAGTGGGGCAGCAATGAGGACACCCCAGAGCCTCCAGGCTGCTGGCAGCTCCTTGGGCACCTGCCAGGGGTGAGTAGCTGTGAAGCCTCAAGGGAACCCCCTCCTCTGGGCTCCTGGAGAAGGAGAGGGAAGTGTACCTTTAGCCAGGCTGGGTCTCCACTCCCGATTGGGGCACTTGGCCGTGCCTCTGGCCAAATGGCTGGGGCCTGTGAACATGGTGTTTCCCACCCACTGGAAGAATTCACTCAGGCAAGAACAGGATGGCTTCCCAAAGGCATTTACTCCAGGAATGACTGGGCCACCCCAGCCCCCAAAGGGTTAATGTACAAAGCTGCTAGGGACTTTGGGGAAGGCCACACAATGGGCTGGTAGAAACCAGCCCTCCTTTCCCACGGTTGCCTGGGGCTACAGATAAAATGAAGGAGAAAAATGTGCTGGCTGTGGGAGGTAGGTGCTGACAGAGGTGGCCAGGATGTTGCTGGGAGGCTCAGTGCCACTTGGACCCCAGTGAGGGCCCAGGGCCTCCTGCAGTGGCACCAAGTGTCCCCATGAGCGGCCAGCAGTCAGGTTCACCTTTAAGGGCACCTGAGGGTGACAGCCAGAGGTGAGCCCCTTGCCTGGGCCAGCCGTCCCCTGCCACCTCCCAGGCCCACAGGCACAGAGGCACACCCCCAGAGACCCGTGATTAGACAGCCACAGGCACACATGCATACGCATGTGCACACTCATGCACACCCACCCAGCGGTAGATATGCTCACACCACAGCCAACTCACAGCCACAAGGCCTTGACCTCAGCTGAGATCTCCCGACCTACCAGGGGCTCTGTGCCAGTGGGTAGGCCAGGCAAGGTGCCCTTGGGTGGGTGAGCCCAGCTGTCTGTGTCCTGGGGTGACCTGTCCTTACTACCTCAGGGCCCTGCCTTTGGGGCCATTGGTGGCTCCTAGAGGTGCCAGCTGGGCAAGAGAACCCTCCTGGGGACCTTGATCCTGAGTGGGCTCTTGCCCAGGGCCCTGGGCTAAACCTCAACAGCTCCCTCTTGACAGAAAGGGTGGGACCAAGCCATAGCTGCAGCCCCTGTCCCCATAGCCTCCTGCATCCTGTCCTGAAGGGCTGGTGCTGGTGGTCGGGGGTGGAGCCAGGGGCCACCCAGCTCCCATGTGTCTCCCTGCCATAGGCCAGACTTGTCTGGACTCTGCCCCAGAGGGCAGGAATCCCCTCCCTAGTAGGGTCCAAGGGCTGCTGCTTGAGCTGCCAAGTCACCAGTGGGCCTTGGGGACTCCAGCCTATTGGTTTTCCCCCCATCCTCCCCCTGCCTGGGGAACCTGCAGCCAGGGACCCAAAAGTCTTTCTTGGTGGGGACCCAAACCAAAGCTGCCTTGAGAGGAGACTAGCCAGGTGTGGGGGCTTGGCAGGGTTTGGGTATGCCCTGGGGGTGCTCCTGGGGCAGGTGGGGGCCCCAGCACTCACATCCCCAGTAAGGGTGAGCCTCAGAGAAGGTGGGCTTGGCCAGAGGCTGGGTGGCCACGGCTGGAGGAGGATCCCTGGCTGGGGGGGCAGCTTAGGGTACCCACTGGGGCATCACTCCAGGCAGATAGCCAAGCCACCTGGGGAGCAGCCACCACTCGGCAGGGCTGGGCTGTGCCTTCTGTCCCTGTGCTCCTGCCCTTCCTCAAGCTGCACCCACCTCAGGCAGGCTCTGGTGAGACCTGGCCTGGCTAAGTGTCCCCCTTACCTGTAGCTGCAGCTCCAGTGCCCGCACCTGCTGCAAGGACTCCATCATTTCCCGGACAAGAGCTAGAACACACAGAGAGTGCAAAGGCCCTGCTGGTCTCCTGGCCTTGGGGATCTTCCAGCCAGAGTCCTGCCTGGCCCCCTACTCCCTAGGTGTTTCACATGTCCACACTGTCACCTGATCAGTTGTGGGGGCCTCTGTGCCCACAAATAGTCCCTGGAGTGCCCCCTGCCCCTGAGGCTGGTTCCAGTTCCCCCTGGCCATGTCTATGG